GTTATTGAGTGCAAAAGAGGGATGGTGAATGGACTACAGCTGTTCTACATGGCACTCACCACTACATGTCAAAGATAGAAGACCAGAAAAACAACAGGAACTGTAACAACACTTGGAGTTTAACAGTGCTATTACTGCCAGCCCTGCACCTTTGAAACCTGCCAGGGATGGCAAAGTGCGGAGGAACTCTAGTGATCACCAGATGAAGCAGAGAAGAGATCTGGGCGCTCAGAAAGCATCTATGACACAAACAACCTTTTTGTTTTGTCCATTCAGACAATTTTCTTGGACCTCCTTGCCAGCACCTATGAAGGCTACGTAAGTCATTCTTATGCATACAGCATAGGCTGCACCATTGCCAATGAACTGGCACAGTCCTCTCCAGGGCCACTGAATCCTTCAGGCTGGAGGGGCCCTGGGGGGTGCCTCATCTAACACTGTGCCAAAAGCCAGGTCAGCACTGAATCCAGATCAGGTTGCAGCTTATATTCTGCTGATCAGATTGACTGTGAGAAATGCCCTTTAACTCATCAGGACAAGGAGGGAACTCCACTAACTTAAATGAATTCACTTCTCAAAAAGACATTAAATTGGTATTCCTTGGGTCTAAGTAAGGCTGGCAAGGGTTTCTGAAAACAGGCCATCTTGGCAACAGGAAACATTTCTCCTAGCATGAGAGGACTTAATGGAGTTAATAAAGTTAACGCACATAACTGTTTCTTACCCATACACAGACTATATGAGCAAAGAACCCCTCACACAGTATAGTTTAAACCTGTCTCTTGGAAGCAACAAGCTACAACAGCAAAATAATATATATATATCTAATAAACAATTTCATCTACCCCCAGCTTCTGCTGGCACAGCTGAATGTGTTAGGAGAGTGATTTACACACAATCCTCGCTGACATACCATTTTCTAGTGCAGACTAAGCTGCAGTCATTAACTAAGAGGACTTCAGAGTATGACAAGTTTAAAGGAGCTCCCCAACCAGTTCAGAAGTACAACTCAAGCAATTTTTAGAGGTACAGCAAACAAGCCACTGATAATCTTTCCCTTATGAATGAGACTTGTCTTTCAAAAGGTTCAACGCAATCATTGTGGTCGATTTTGGAAAAGCACGTTGTGACATTTAAGATTACCCAAAACGAACAGTGCTGGAGGAGGGAGACAAAATTTTAGCAGTAAAACATACAGCTTTATAGTCTGAGGAATGCCAAGTACCTACATTTTGCACTTGAGTTTGCTTTAACACAGTGTGAATATTATTACTACAAGCTAATTTGATACCTTAGAAGCTCTCCAGGTAATATAAAAGCATATTTTCAGATGTGCCAGCACTGTAACAGCTCTGCTTATGGCCCACAAGCTAACAGTGACAAAACAGTGAAATAGGGAAACTTTATTTAAACAAGGAAAGTTCTCAAATCAGTCAATGAGTTATGCTTGCGCAACCAAGGAAAGCAATGCTCCAAACACACTAGGTTCAAAGCTGCAACTGTCCTACACGCAGGATTCCTGAAACCTCACTGGAGCACCACGTTATTTTTTTTAGGAAATAATTACATGTGCGTTCATTATTTTCCTTACTCTGCTCTCACTTCTGATTCCAGAGGGTTTGTTTTCCCTTGCCCTCATGACCCATTGCTGCTACCACAAGCTAAAATTACACATAGCTGGCACACACACTGAGAAATATGAAGAAACATTTTTAATGTAATTTGGTTTTAAAGGCAAACCAGCAGTTACTAATCAGTTGACCTATTTCTACTCTAATTTGCCTTACTTAAACATACAACCCCAAAAAAACTCTTCAGAAATGAAAAAAACACATCAAAAAACTTCACTGGGGTAGAGAAAGAGGTATCTAGAAGGAAGATTAACTATAATAAAAAGAAGGAAAGAAAGGACAAGCTTAGGGGAAATACCATCCTCATTCAGAACATGAGGATGGTATTTCCAAATATTTTGAAGCTGAAATTAAACATTCCCAAGCTGAAAAAAACAAGTTCCCTGCCCTCCTGGCAGTCCCACCACAGAGATGCCCATGGCCATCTATGTCTTCTTCATTCAGTTCTTCATGTCCCACACCTTCAAACCCAGAGACTGACTCCTCCAACCAGGTGCCAGGGTTCCTGCACATCTGAAGGAAGTCTGTCAGACCTGAAGACACTGCTTACAAAACATGCCCATGTGGGTATTACTAGCAAAAGCATCTATTTTAAAGGTACAGTTTCTTCTCACTTATTTGTGGTTTGGGTTTTATTTTGGGGGTGGTGACACTCCCCCCCCCCCCCCCCTTTTTCTTTTTTAATACTTTCTCCTTGAGCAGGCCACAGTAACAGCCTAATCATTTTCCTTCTTCTTTGCTGGCACAGCTCCTGGTCCTGGGGCTGGGACTGGCAAGATGCCTGTTGATTTCAGTGGAAAGAGGATCAGGCCCAGTCCTGCAGATGTTACTCATGCAAGTACTCGGCTCCACCCATTGTTTCTCACATCACTGCGTGTTCTACTACTTAAAACACAGGGACAGACTGGAACAATGGAGCCTGGCACACAGTGCTGCCCTTATTACATGCTGCCCCTCAAAGCTCTTTGTCACCACTTGGCTGGGGACTGATAACACACAGCCTTTTGCACCTACAATTGCCAACATCGGGCCATTTGCAATCGGATCTTAGTGGGAGTCATGCACCCATCGTCTTTGTTTGTCAAGGACCATAGCTTTTCTGGACTGTGGGAAAGTCAAAAGTCAACAAAGCCATCTCAAATACTGTGGCATTTGCTCTTTTTCTTGAAGTCCCAGTTCCTGGAGTCATGTTTCTTCTTGAGAAACTTGGCTTTCAGTTAAAAACTAATCTTTCCGGGTTCCCATAATTGCAGAGGATAGCCTGAAAATCTGGCTTCAGAGTTTCCCAAGAGGAAATAAAAAGCCAATAAACAAATAAAAAGAACTGGAAGTTTTTCTTGGTTTGATGTCATTTGTTGATTTTTCTTAACATCACTATTTTAAGCAGTTCTCTTTTTTTTTGTGTCTTGTCAAATGTTTTTTGAGTGCTTTAGAATTTTGCTCTAAGCTAAATCCTGATTCAGACTGCCATCACTGAAGATTAAAAAAAAAATGTTTCTTCACTTGTTTGTCAGCATTATCCAATATTCATTAATTATATTTTTATATCCATTCTTTTATAGTGATGCTTTAAACCTCTTTATTGGATTAGAGACAAACTTGGGAAACAAAGTCCATTCGCAATCTAGAAAACCCTCAAGGCAACTAAGATACTTGGATCTCATTTTATGCTTATGAAGCTGGTGTAGAAATTGTAAAAATATACCTGTGAGACACTCTAGACTGGGAAACAAAAGCTGACTATGGCCCCTTTGCAATTGGATAATTTACAAGTAAGTATGTAATGGGGCTTTAGCTGCTGACCTGTGTAATGTTCACTATTTCAGTATTTTCAACTCAAATAAAATGCTGCTGATTAGAAAAATGTTCAGCTTGCATTATTTCAGTACTCAAAACTGTTCTTCCCTAAGCAGAACTGAAACAGAAAACAGGGATTTATTTATATTATATATATTTACACGTACAAATACACTTTACTCTCCCCTCTCTACTTTCTGCCTTTACGAGACAAAATACGCAGCTTGGACAACTGCAGATGTTAAGAAGAAACCCTTACAATGCTTAAAGAAAAGAAAAGAAAGAAGAGTGTTTGCTTAATGTCTGCATATTTCATGCACGTTGGTGCAAGAGCGTATTAGCTGTAACCCTCACTTTGCATTGTTGATGAAAGAAAAAATGACAGAGGAAAGAATGAGACTTTCAGTGCAGCTGGGTCAGCTCGTACCACGGGACTCCTGTCTGGCACTGGTGTGGCCCAGCTGCGCAGAGTATCTTATGCCAATGTCACAACCCAGCTACTACAAACGAGAGCTATTGCACAGTGGTAGCAACAGGCTGCCAGGGCTGTAAATACACAGCCCTGTCTTGTCCCCAGCCACCTGGAACCATGCCTGGCTGAGGAAAGTTCCTGCTCGTAGACTGGCACCAACTGAGACATCGATGCACTCCAGAATTTATGTTCCTCTACACTTCAGCTGCTTACAATAACCTTCCCCATGAAGCACCAGGAGGTGGGCTGGGCTGTCTGTGCCAGGCTCACCACCCCCAGAAAGAAACCCTATGCATTTCCCCATGCATATCCAGCCCCGACAGCCATCCTCCATGACCCACCATCACATAACAAGCTGCCCATAGAGAAATACTCTCAAGAAGCTATTTCACTTTTTTTTTTTTTTTACAGGAATTTGAGCATCGGCCCACCAAAACACACCCATGAAGGTCTCCGGATTGTCCTCTAATGAATTGTATCACCATACCAAAATGAAAATGACATTTGTTTTTGATGCTGGAAGTGAACTGCAGGAGGTTGTGGAAGACATTTTCAGCAGCAAGGAATTAAACAAACTAACAACACCCCACCCCACCCCAACAACAACAGTGCAGCAAGCTTTGAGACAACTTAAATACATCTGACTCCAGGTCTAGTCCTGCCAGCCAAATAGGGAAACTACAAGTTATGTTGGGGAAGTAAGGCTTGGAAACCTAGGGTGGTCTGTTCTGCCCATCCCTCCCAGCCTTCTGGATCCCTGCTGAAGTTTTATGAGTTTTAGGGGAAAAAACCAGCAAGTGGGTATCCTGGACCCTTCTGAGAAGGGTAGTGATGACTGAAGAAAATGTACTTTGGTTTTGGTGCACATGAGTGAGACTCAAGGACGTATTTCTACAAAAGCTAATAGCAATATGCACTGTGCCAGCCTACCAGGTGATGGGAGAACCAGCAAGAGAGCTTAAGGAACTGCATCGCCATGGAAATAAGATGATGTTGCTGACAGGGTGCCTCAGCTTGGGAAAAACGATGGGACAAGATAAAAATACCAGGGGAACACAGTGCTACCAGGACTGACTCCAAGTGTACACACCTGCAACACGTTCTCATGCGTTAAAAGTAATGCATGGACTTTTATTTAGGCTTTTAATACAGACCAAACAAACCCAAGAGTAAGTCATGTAGAAACTTAAAATTACTATTTCCTTCTCAATTCTCCCCAAAGGACTTCAGGTAGACCTGAAAACATTTGAGGCATCAAGACTACTCAGTGATGAAATTATAATTTGGGGGCAAAACAAAGGTGATTGATTCTTCTGGAAAATATCTGTTCCCTTTTAAAATGGGAAAAAAAGGGTACCTGTTTGGGGTATGCACACACCCAGAAGACTGATGCATTTACAGTGCAAAAAAATAACATACCATCCATGCTGAGAAGTGAGGATCTGTCAACTGACCTCACCATGATTTCACAAGGAGCATTCTTCCCAAAGGCAAATTTCAAAGAATTTTCAGATACTGAATATCTGCCTTTTGTTTTGTTATGATAATTTATTATGATGCAGCAAGAGCCAAATAATCTTTTCCTGGTTTGTTCTTGAATTTTAAATTTAATGAGTTTAGGAAAAAAAAAATAAAATCAGACATTTTTTCCATTCCCACAAAGGACTTTCTAAGGACTTCTCTGGAAAATGCTTATGTTTAATCAAGTGTAACCTTCCATCCAAGCTCTTCCAAGGATTAAGCTAGTATTTACAACATCACTGAGAAATCCTGCAGGTTACAAATCCTTCCTCCTCTAAACTGCTTAGCCTTTGGTAGGCTCAAGTAGTAACAGTCTTGAGGACTTGAGGAACTGCAGGACTGTGCAGTTCTGCAAAAAACAGCAAAAAGCCCCAACCAAACATGGGACAAAACCCTTTAATCCCTGCCCCCGTTGTCTTCTTCTCTTTTACATGTGTATGTTTCATATCATCCTGAGTTTTCTATGCAGAGAAATCTGAGAATGTGTTCTCCCACATTTCCACATCTTCTTTAGATTTTTTTCTTTTTTCTGCTCTAGATGCTTTTTTTTTCCTGGGAATATGAACATAACTAATGAGAGGAGAACTCTTCACCTCCACATGGAAAATTGGACTCCAATTCTGATTTCTCCCACAGTGGCTGGAGTCAAAGAAAATCTCACTGAAAACAACTGAGCCATTCTGGTGGAAACTTCAGAGGGAAAAAAAAAGAATTAGGCTATCGCCTCGCTACAGAAATAGATCAGTGATGTATGTTTAGGCAGTGGCATTTTTCAACCATGCACTAATAAGAATCCTCAGCTTGAATATTCCATAAATTCCTTAATATCCTGATGCCTCTTCCTGGGACTAGCTCTTCGTTAAATTTAATGACTCCTTAAAACAGAGAAGAGAAAATGTCAATACCACCTGCTAGCTTGAGAGAAAGCTATCTAGGGAGACTTGGTCAAAAAATTATACTGGAAACTTCCATGACGTTTAGTGATATAGTATTTTCTTGCAGACACTCATGCACACACACAAAGGGGGAAAAACCCCAACCTGTTTAAAGACAAACTCCTGTCTTCCCCTTACAGTCCTCCCCACCCCCCAGCTCGAAAATGTGATTTACCAGAAGGAGCTCACAATGCTGCTCTGGCTGAGAAAGTACACTGAGAACTTCACAGTGAGCCCAAAATAGCCTGAAAAGAGGAAATGGGTGGGGGTGAAGTTCTTTCTTCTGCTTGCAAAGGAGTTCACCAGCCGATACAGATCAAGTAAAAACAGTCCTGACATGCGGAGCAGCACTTAGTGACAGTCCTCCCCTCTTTCCCAGTCTGGTCTATTTTAAGATCACATCACAGGAAACTTGGCAGCTACATGTTTCCGAAAGTTGCCCCTGCCACTTCCACAAGTTCAAATCATTTGTAAGTGCAAAGCTCACAGCACAGAAAATTCTGAGAGGACAGAAAAGGCACTGTCGAGCTACCGAAGGCAAGACATTCAAAGAAAGAAGACAACTAATGATAATTAAATGAAGCTGAAAACATGCTCACTTTTCAGTACTGCAGTACTGTTGTTCAAAGAAATGCAACATTTGTATGAGTGCTGGTAGCACTTGCAATGGACACTGTGCGCTCAGAGAAAGAAGGCCCCCCATATAGAGACATTCAGCTGTGTGGGCTGTACCCTCATCATTTTGTCACAGACTTTCTCTCACCTTCTTAATGTATTTTCAGAAAAAAAATTAACACTGTTAATTACAGACTAAAAAAGGATGGGCGTGTGTGTGTGTGTTAACAGACACACAACTAGTAACAAAGAACAATGTGGTTGTTGCACATGAAACCTCAACTCTGATTCCCATTAAGCACGGAATAGGAGGAAAGTTAATGGCACGGTCTGATTAGAGAAATTGATGATAATTAAAATACTAACAAAAAATGCAAAAGCACAGAAACATTGCTAATGCCTTCACCCTGCATTATAAAATGTATGTACAAAAGCAGCAATGGGGGATGAAGTAGTTTTCTGGAACTAGGAAAATGAACATGAATTGCAATGGAGCAAATTTCTTTAACACACCCCCTCACACACACACACACACACACACACACACCCCCACACCCCATGGTTTTATTATTTCATAACCATACCTTTTACAAATGCCAAAACTTCATAGCCCTACTTGTTCAGGGAGCCAGATTTCTGAGTAATCTGAGACCAAAAAAATTGCTGGCAAAAAAAGTATTCTGCAGGGAAAAAAATACTATTTAAACTCAGTGTATTAAAACAGTCAAATGGATGTATATGTCCCTTTCCAGAAGTAATTTATTTCTAGATATGGGAAGACCACTCGCACCCCCAAAAGTAAATTTTAAGATACCTGTAAATAAGTTGAAATACAGGTCCTCAAGTTCAGTCTGTACACTAACATAATTATTGGAACACCATGACTTTGAGTGGCAATCTAAAGCTATTAAAAAATACTAATATTGTCTACAAAGAAGTGCAAGCCCTTGCCTCTTTATGATGTGTAAAACTATGTGAAAGCTCTCAGAGAATTTCACATGGTTGGCATTCTGTATTTTAGTGACATCTGCTTCAAAAGGAAAGGCGTATTAGATCTCTTCTTGCAAAGCTCACTCTCTGCTCCCATGCTGAATATCACTGCCCCCTCATGCGAGGGCTCTCTTGTCAGCTTCCACACACAGTTCGACAGATTAGCTTAAATTGCTGTAAATAACTCCTACTTGCTATACTTGAGCCCTTTATGCCAGGTTGTTCTATATTCTTAAACTGTACCTGAGTCACCTTCATGTGTTATCCATGCTGGTCTGGGAAGCTCAGGGTTTAGTAAACAGGCTAAGCAAATGAAAAGATTAGTCAGTATTGTGCTTCAGAAGGACACAAAATGAGATTACACAGAAAGCAAGCATATTAACAAAATGAAGAAAGAAGGGTTTTCAGAATCTTTGCACTAATCTAAATTATATGTATGGCACATAAAGAAAGCATCCCCAAGTTTTGTGCTTGAATCTTTCTTACCCTGGTATTGAAGACCGTTACAAGTACTACCAGATTATTGGGCAAACTGGGATTATTGGTTGCCATGCAGGCTAGATGACAAGGACATTATGAGTTCCCTGTAATTCAAAGTAAAGAAATTGGAAGGAACAGCGCATAATGGCAACCAGGTAATAATGTTAGTTATGGAAGACAGAATACCACAGCATACTTACATTTACCCCTCAACATGTGCTAATGTGTTTCACTACAGCAAACAGCATGAAATTCAATATACATACTCTTTTCATCACACAAAAGAACCACCAGGGCAAGTTAAAGCAAGAGCAATTAAGAATGAATACAGGCATTTAAGAAAGGCTCAAGATAACATTTCTTCATCCATTCATCCCTTCCCTCAAACATGCTAGTGACACTAGGACATGACGAGTTATCACCAGTTTGAACTCAAAGTTTACCAAGGACAAAAACATTAGGTGGGAAGCAAAGGGATCGAAGAAGTATGGCAACAGACAGAAAATCTACAGAGGCTTGGAAGCAATCCAGTCTCTTTTGATTCTTCTCTACATTTCTGTCACAAAGTCCAACCCTCATACCTCCATTTTCTACTGGCCATGAGACAGTCCATGACAGTTACAGAATCATAGAATCACAGAGTATTTAGGGTTGGAAAGGACCTTAAGATCATCTAGTTCCAGCCCCACTGCCATGGACAGTGACACCTCACACTAAACCATGTCACCCAAGCCTTTGTCCAACCTGACCTTGAACACTGCCAGGGATGGAGCATTCACAACTTTCTTGGGCAACCCATTCCAGTGCCTCACCACACTAACAGTATTTGCCTGTAAAAGCACTTTATAGACAACTGTAGAAAAATTCTGTACAAGAATGTCTTATGTCCCAAAAATGATTCTTCACATGAGCTGGCTTTACAGTCTTAGTTTCTCCATGGTAAATGGTCCCTCAGCATGAATGCATTCAGGTTTTGACAAGTACCCATCATCTCGGTATTAGAGGCACTGTTTACCCTCTTGGACCATTAACAAATCAGCATCCTCAGAAATGAGAAGGGGAAGGGAAATGATAGTGTGAGTTCTCCCCTGAAAATTACCTCTGAGTAACAGCAAAAATAACTTGGATGTAAATCTGATCGAGCAGAACAGAAACTGGCCAAGTTTTCAGACTTAAGAACTGCAAACTGACAGAAGATGTCTGGTGCCAGTATTCCCAACAACCCAGCCCTCTAACAGTTTTCTGACGCAGTCCTTCAGCTGTGAGATAAAGCGATTATTACAATACCTCTTTACATATACAGAACCCACACAGCCACACGCAGAGCTGAAGAAGTTTTTCCAATTCAGTGGCATCAAAGGAAACCCCCACAACCTGTGCCGCTGTGCATAGCAGCACGGCACCTACAAGCCCCTTCAATGCCACATGCAGCCCACGCGCACCGTGCGACCGTAACCTAGCGAAGTTTTTGTGGATGTAAAAGGCAAACGGTAAGCAGAGAAACAGGCACAGTGCCTTGAACCCACTGTCCTGAGCGCCAACTGAAGGCAAGGGGCAAAGTAATTTCATACAGTGGGCCGCATTTTCAGGTCTCAGCATCTAGAAATGTTGACCCTTATAAGAGCTCAGGACTTTGTATTTCCTGATTATGCAATGACATATCTACAGCTCCGTCTTGCTCAAAAATCTAACCTCAGTAACCTCTCTGTGGATTACATCAATACTTCAATAAGGAGAGTTGTTGAAACCCTCTCCCTCCTGTTGAAAAAAGAGGCTTAAAATACTGTTCTAGTTTTTAATAACAATTAAAAGTTAAACAAACTCCAAAACCTAAAGCTCTCCTGGAACCCAAAATAAGTGTTCCTTCACAATAAGTGCCAGTGAAATTCTAGCAGGGATGCCACCAACTTCTGTGGTGTGTGTAACCTTTTGAGCCTCTCGGATAGCTCAAGGCACACTCAGAGACAGCACCCTATACCCTGTAATATATTAGTGTTCACACACGTACACTATTTCTTTAATAATAATTTTCTATGGTATGAGGCTGCTTTCCAAAGATGCTTATTACTCTGTTTCCTGCGGACTACTTGGGAAACAGCAGATCCTCATCATCTCTGAAACCTAGGCCATAGATGGCTTGAGAGCTGAACTGACATTCACCAAGATGACATCTTCTGAACAGCTACAAAAGTCAAAGTCCTCCAAAACCAAACAGCAGATTAGGGAAAGGACAGCTCCCAAAGTTAAAATGTGTGGTACTCTGACTACACAAAAACATTAAAAGGAAAAGAAAATCTTTAAAATCTGCCTAATTTTAATGCATTAGTACTAATATTTTACAATGCAGCCTATTTTCCTAACAGAGGTATGTCTTGATGAGGTGAAAGATCTGCTCTGTGGTTGTGAAGGGTTGTGAAGAAAATAGCCATGATACAGTGATAAAGAACCCACCATCTCAGCACCAGCATATATTGGTCCCACTGCAGAGGCGGTTGTTTTCTGGGGAGGAGCACCCAGAGCCCCACCAAGAGAAGGTGAAAGCCAGGTCCTTGAGAACAGCTGCTCCTGGGAAGGATGAGAAGGTGCCACGGGTGACCATGAGCAGGAAGAGGCCTGAGTGGGGGCTAAAATGGTGAAATGCAACACTTGCAGAGAAGGAGTGAAGAAGAAAATCTGGCAAGCTAAGAGAGACACCACCAGCATTCTGCACAGGTGATGTTTGTTCACTCCTCTGCAGCCTCCCTTGTTTGGATTACAGGATATTGGTGTCATGCTCATGGAAAACGGCTGGTGAAATGGGGCCCTGGCTGCAGGCTCACATGCTGGGGACTTCCTCTGCTTTTTTCCTCTCAAGTTATGGTGGCAGGGGGGAAACATGTAGGTTTAGGCAGCTTTGGAGAGCTTTGAAAAGCTGTTTGGAAGGCTTTGACATGGAGGGTGTAAGGAAAGGAACTAATCCACATGTTCAGTAATGACATAGAATCAGAATGGTTTGGGTTGGTAGGGACCTTTAAGCTCATCCAGTTCAAACCCCTCTGCCATGGGCAGGGACACCTTCCACTAGACCAGGCTGCTCAAAGCCTCATCCAACCCGGCCTGAACACCGTCAGGGATGGGGCTGCCACAGCTTCTCTAGCTAAAATACTTAAGCTTTAATCACATTATTAATTTCTTTATTAAGCCATTAGGGGAATTTGACTTATATTTATTACCAAAGTTATAGTTGAGCACCCCCGTGAACCCAGAGAACAACTTTATTTCCCCCTTTGTGAGACCGGTCGCCGGCAGCGGGGAAACGAAGGAAGGAAGGAAGGAGCCCTGAGGGGCCGGGCCGGGCCGGGCCTTACAGCCGCTCCCGGCGCCGGGAACACCTGCTGGCGTAGGGCCGCCGCGGTGGGAGCGCCCCGCGGCCCGGCCCCCGCCGGGGATGGCTTTTTCTGGAAACATGACAGCCGGCCTCGGGGAGCCGCGGCGGGGGGAGCCCGGCAGGACGCGAAGGCGCGACGAGGCGACGGTTGTTAAGGGAGTGCAAACAGCGCGATCAACAGAGGGGCTGGTGCGCGGGGAGGTGCGATGCCCCGGGTTTTTATAGCCACCTCATGATGTCAGCGAGCCGCGCTGGCCGCCGCGCACGGAAATAGCTGGGCCCTGCAAACGCGCGGACATAAATCCGTTGGCAGGCCTACAGCGAACGGTTATTTTTAACGGCCTGAGCAAGATAAAACTTGGCTCGGGGGGGAAGGGAGGGG